GTTTCAACCCGGCATCTCTAGCGTTCAAAGCAACCTAATCATCCACTGCGTCTTTTCAGCCCCTCCTTCCAAAGTCCTTCGTTGTATAAGAATATTCTCAAGGTCAGGGTGGCTCAGTCAGCAGCACATTGGACTCATAGTCGAAAGGCCTTGAATCTAGGCCCTGGCGAATCACTCGACTTTATTCCTTCTGAAGTAAACAAGAGAAGATATGGCTTTCGAAACTGGATGACACTTTTGGTTGATGGCATCGTGACGGAAATTAGCGCTACACTATAATCTCAGTAGAAAACGTCCTACTACGACTGCCATCCTCCAAGAGTTCTGAGCATCTACGTTTCTACCACTACAAACCCTCACAATCTTGTAAAAGATATCTTGTTTACTCTATCCACATTATGTACGAAAAATGAATCAGAAACAATCGAAAAATACTGTATGCGGTTCACTGAATCTTGGTTTAACAAGGACTGCTTCGGGACATACCATTCCATCCTATCCGTTGAAATTCTAACTTGACGATTTACGACAACAAAATATGATTAATCCCCGCTTTATAATTAACGAGGATTGTCGTTGTTTTGCCTAAATGCTAACATTCGTCCGTCTAGTGCAATTTGTCGCAGCAAACTTCCATGCCTCTTCTTTAATTCATCGTACCACTTGAGTCGAGGTATTCCAAATGGGTGCTGGCAGTGTCTTGAGTACCAATCCGTTACTGTTGAAATCTCTCGATAATCAATCACTCGTGCAATGTAGTCCACCATGACCTTACTCGAACTACAAGCTGGAAACTGAAAGCCATTTTCTTGCTTCCAATTCAATTCGTTGTTGAGAAATGGATTTTGTTGACGATCAGCGCTTGCATGACGTCTTGGGCAGAACGTAATTTTGCAGTTCACCGAGGCCGAATTCGGTTCCAGATGATAAAGCTGTGAGGCTTCGCATGCACGAAGTTTTTCCCAGTAAGTTTGAGCATAGTCATCTGTTATCCGGCTGTTTGCATACGATAAAGTACCTCAGCTCGCTGAAATAATGTTCTAAATGCCGTGCATAACAATTGCTACTCACCTTATATTTTAGGCACTCATATTTTCAAAAGCTGATGCATTCGGTTCGTCTCAATGTTTGTTTAGATAATCATTTTTCACGGCTAAACATTCGTCGAAATTCGCTTTGCAAAAGATTGCCTGCATTAACGCTCATCCCGATCCATTCAAGTTTACGGTGACAAAAAACGTACAGTTTGTGCTCTTATGCCATCAAGTAGATAGAAAAGCAGCAAATTGCACAAATCAGGTCGTCCGTTCAGAATTATTTTTAAAAATCTTAGCAACTTTCAAACGATATTTCGTTTTCGCTCAATTTCAAACAAGTTTCGATTATTTGGACTGATCAAACTTGATCGTTTCTGAATGGCCACTTTTTGCCTCAATTATTTTCTCTAAGCGGACTAAAATTATATCTCAAATTTACCACACTTCATGTCCATCCCAATTTTGCGGAGCAGGAGTAATTTCTGTGCGATCGTCGGAATTCAGCGAATGAACCAGAAATTTTGACCGGTTGCTTCATTCAGTCACAGCTTGGTTGGCAAATCAAGGTTTGCGATAATTCAAATGACGCAACGATATTCAAATGGCACGTTGCACTTTTTAACGTAGTAGGTGCTTTCAATGGAAGTTTCTAGAAAATGCGGCCACAGGTTATGAAATAAAACTTTTTATGTAAATGACACTTTGCGAAATAGAGCATGAGTTGTACGGGCATAATTTCCGCTCGAACCCTCTACCAAGGGCTGGGTAGCTGAAGTGATCTTTCTTAATATTTGGCGTTCCTAAGCAGGGTCATCTTCTGCAGTTCATTCAATTTCATTACTTTGTTCAGCGACTTTCGTAAATGCTGTGGTTTCTTTTCGCTGTTCTGATGGTACCTATTGCCAGAGGAATAGCTTCTGTTCTTACTGCTCAGACCTTTCTGCATTTCCAGCCTCAATTTTTGATATTTCAGAATTTTTCTCTTTCTTCAACAGCAACGTTGCTTCACTCCCCGAAAAGTGGTACGTCAGTGATTTTTCCCACATTTTCCCTTTGTCTGCAAGCAAAATAAATTGATATTTCCTTGTCGATTCGAATTAAGCAGTCCCAGTGTCTTCCATTGTTTTCGTTTAATGCCTCCAACACATTGATTTTCCATTAGTAAGTCAAGTGGCCACCACAAATGTTAATGACCAAAGAACTGCCGTGAAACGTTTTTCTGCCTTGCAACGATACTCAATTAGAGGGCGATTCGCCGCCGGAAATGATATAGATCACTGTCTCATTTTTGGTGTTCAGCAGTATCACGTTTATATCATATAAAGGTTTATATAGTTTATTTTATATGCGTTCATGGTTAGTTTTAACTCTTTGGCTATCATTAGAATGGCATCTATTTTGCCATGGAGGCCATAATCAAAGTTTATACATATTTAAATAAATAATTTTAGCTTTATCTTTAAGCGACTGAGAATTGGAGCCCGCGATCACTTTTGAATCCGCAGCAAGATCAGGAAAATCTAGCACCTTGGAATGGTACAGATTCTCCCTCTATGATGAAAAGTTTTGCTTATGTGCCCAAATATTGATTTTCGTTTAAAATACTTTACATATTGTTATCATCGTGGTATTATTATGAATGTAGGAAAATTTGTCCATAATGAGAGCGGATGATACAGCATTTATTGAAATTTTTAATCGCGTAATCAAGGCTGTCATTCTGTACGGTCCCATTAGTTTTCTTCCGTTTGCTCATTTTGCCCTTTATTCCTCATGCTGTTACTGCCAAAACGATTATTTTCTTTTTTCTTGTTTTTTGTTTATCTGCAAATGATTCTGCATGCACACTCACTGTATGGTGTGGTTCCAATGCATACTGCGTTTCGGCAAACACGTTGTCCTCCACTTTGCTAGACATGCCATCTTTCTATCTGTGCAATTTTTCAGTTTGCTTGTGTGTGCCTAATGTAAATTATCTAATCCAATGCAACTCTTTCCACATGAGCAGGTGCAA